GTATGTAGTGTGTGTGTGTGTGTGTGTGTGTGTGTGTGTGTGTGTGACCACAGGCACTTTACCTCCTCTCATTTGCTTTCATTCCAAGCAGACCCTTGTTAGAACAAAAACCAGAGGGGGTTGACGAAGGAGAATTCCAGGTATTGACTAAATATATATTTTCATTTATCATAATTTCTCCTTCTCACTTTGTCGTAGCTTCACTGTTTAAGGAAGATGGATGACACAAGATGTTGTCTTGCCTTTCAGACTCTTTCTGCTTGGGTAAGTGTGTCCAATGCGGAATTATTTTGCCAGTTTATTACTCTCCAGTAAGCGGCTGTCACTGCGTTCCCACTCGTGTCACTTCCTGTTCAAGCCTGTGTAAGGGCTTATCTGAGTGGTGTCAGCTGTCAGATGGCTTGTCAGCCATTGTGGGTCTATAGAAACATAGCTGCAGTGGATCCCAATTGTAAATCAGTATTTAAATGGAGCGCACTTTTAAATATTTGTGTTTTTCTGGTCTCATGAGCCTCATACATGTAGGCTCTGCGCTTATGAAAATAGACAGTTATTTTTAGTGAATGCTGAAATCAATAATTCTCATCTATCAAGATACCAGAGCATGTAGAGGTGGATGTTTAATAGCTTTATGTGGCTGGTGTATTGTAAATGAATATTATTGATTTGCAAATGCGGCTTGTTCAGGTGCCAATCATCCAGATGCCAAAAAAAAATAAATAAATGTTTATGTAGTTGGATAGCAACCCTTGTGAAAAAGAAGTACACTTTAGTATACTTTTAAAAAAGAGTACTTATTAAGGAAATAATAGATTTTAAAAGAATATACTTATTATGGAAATAGTATACTTTAAAAGAAAATACTTAAGTGTGAACTGAATTCAATATTTTTGGACACTAAATTTCATCTTGTTTACAATTCAAGGAAAATGTTATTATAGTTTATATTGTCGTTTAAAGTTATATTAAATGTAAATAGTTGAACTTCAAAGTGCTTGTTTGACCCCCTTAAGTAGGACTTACATCTATATATGTAATTTCATTATTAATTCTATTGTCTTTGAAATATGGTTGTGTACTACTGAATGTACTGACAACAATTTATGGTAAACTAAAATATAATTTAATATAATTTATATTGAAACCTGTATGTCGTGTGTTTAAATATGTGCAACTATACATTTGATGAAGTTACAATTAAGTAAAGTTAAGTACCTAAAATATGTTAACTTCAAAAGTAATATCAAATAACACACTACAGTTATAAATATAATCAAGTACTTTACATGTGTTTTGGTATGTTAGTCAACACATCAAAATAAGTGAACATCTTTAAAGCTTGACAAAAATTATTTAAAAATAATGAATTAAAATGTACTTTAAAATAAAACTTTTAATTTGGCATTTTTACAAAGCTCACTTTTTAAAAGAGAACTTAAGTGTGTTATATAAAATTGCACTCTCTTAACTTAAGCGGTCTTTTATTTCATTAATATTATATTATCTGCAAGTATATTTTTAAAAAAATGCTTTGGACACTACAAGTGGACATTGAATACAGTTAAGCGCACTTCTTTTTCATAAATCTGATAAATCTGAATACAGAACACATATCTAAACCTTACTCCCCCAAATGTTAGCATCAGCATTAGCATTATTACAGAAGTAAATAGTAGCCAACTGTGTCTATCCAATCGTATAAATATCCGATCAAGGCCCATAAATACTTTACAAATCTTTGTTTCTATGCTAAATTATGTATAATGTCGAGTCTGAAAACTACAATGTTGCCCTTAAATCCCTCCAGTGTCCCCCGTACTCTTTCGCCCTGTGCCACAAGGGCAGCCATTAATATCACAGGGGGACGATTCCCCTGGTACTGTGACTTATGAGAGGGGGGTCTTGCTCGCGACTGTGACACAGACCCTGCTGGAGTGGAGAGTCATGGAAAACGCTGACTTCCTCATAAACCAGACATGAACCCCAACCATCTGCTCCACCGCTAGTTACCTTCAACTACTGGTCTTATTGCTATCACCTGTAATACTTCATCACAGAGCAGCTCTACAGTCAGCAGTTCACAGCACCCAACTTTTATTTGAACTCCTAGCATTTTTTGGAGTGCACCTGTTTCTCTCAGAGGGTCAGTAACTACTGTAGTTAGCATATGGAATATAACGTTAAGCAATGTTTAGAATGGTTTTTCAGCACACACACACACAGAGATTATTGTTTTATTATGTTTTACAAGAAAATAATATTTCAGTCTTTCTATTTCAAAATTTCACATTTAATTAAATATGTTACATGCTGTTTCTTTGTAATTAATTGTGAAACGTAGTAACAATTTCTGAGTGAAAATCATCTCTACACTGATTTTTTCCTCCTCGGGAGTAACGCTTCTCTCAGTCCAACTACTCCTAGGTCGGGACACATTCCCTTGTAGGGCTCTCATTGACTCGGGTTCAGAGGGAGATTTCCTGGATCGCAAGACAGCGCACAAACTGGGAATTCAGTTGGTTCCACTCGAAAGATCCATCTCGGTTAGTGCACTCTGCAGGCAGTCTCTCTCACCTATCACCCATTGCACGCAGTTGGTGAGGTAACGTCAGTCACGTCAGGTAACCACACGGAGAACATTTCCTTCCTCATCACCGACTCCCCTTTGGCTCCGGAGGTCTTGGGTCACCTCTGGCTGTCATTACACAATCCCAATATAAACTGGCGTCTTTCTCATCGTTTGTCTCCTGCCGAATGTAATTATGACATTGGTAACAGAGAGTTGCTGGCAGTCAAGCTGGCTTTGGAAGAGTGACGTCATTGGTTGGAGGGTTCGGAGGAACCTTTTATAGTCTGGACCGACCATAAGAACCTGGAGTACATCAGTTCTGCTAAAAGGTTAAATTCTAGGCAGGCTCGGTGGGCCTTATTTTTCGGTCGCTTTAATTTTTGGATTCCACTCCCCTAGCTGGATCGGGTCGGGATTTCGTAATCCCCGTGTGCTCACGGCTACTCACCTTAATCATCACGTTTGGCTTGCAACCCAGCTTCACTGTTTATTGTCACAATAAATCACTTTTCACTTGCAATTGGATTCTGAGTTCTCTTCCCGTAACTATATAGATAGATAGATAGATAGATAGATAGAGTGTGTGTTACAACAATATATATAATGTACAATACATACTGTAAATGGAGGAAACGTGTTTGTACAGTGCTTAATTACCATATGTTTAGGATTGCCATCTCAGAAGTCTTGGTTGAACATGACCCCATTAACTCAAACTGGCAACTAGTCCAGGATATTTGTCACTGAAAGCTTTACTTTATTGTATCTCATACCTCTGCCAAACTGCAATCTATTACCGAATTAAAAAGCGGTAACATTTGGTAGCCGTAAATCTATCAACAAAACAGAGACAAACAAATGCTGATTGAAAGCACAATGACTACAAAGAAATGCCAGAGGTTTAAATGCATAGTGACTGTGCGCCAAAAAATCAAAAGGAAACTTTTTTTTTTATATGACATAGTACTATCCCGAACAATGAAGATTTTTTTTTTTTTTTTTTTACAAAGTACATTTGTCACTATATTTGTCACAAAATAAATAAATATATACAATTTATTGAGTGAGTTTGACCTCACACAGCATATAATCTCTATCACACACAACAGCAATGATCACAAATAGTCTGTCAATTAGCATTGCATTTAAATGCTAACAATGCCATATAAACTCACGCACAAACTCACAAACAAACATTCGCACACATACACACAAATCCACCCACTCAGACTATCCGTAACCCCCTTCCCAAACTCGCCCAATATCTTCCCCTTGGCATTGTGTTATTTCCATTATTATTAATATCTGCCAGCTTAATTTTCAGCCCTGTCATAACGTGACAGCCTAAATGACTAGAGACAATCGCTTATTGATAACTTTCCCAGCAAACCTGCCACTGGAGCCAGCTGATCGGGCTGCTCTCTCACGCTGCGGGCGTCTCACATGGTTGAGATAATGGGCCACTGCTCTCATGCTGAAACAGATTGAATGTGCAGTCAGTCACTGTCTTACTGAATCATACTCCAGTCTATCAGACAGACAGACTCGGATTATCATTTTACAGAGGTGGGGGGAGAAAGAGAGCAAGGGAGAGGGAGAGAGACAAATATACCATGTGTTATGTCATTCAATTTTGTGTTCATCCTGGTTTCACATTTAAGCCCGAGACATCAGACTGAATGTGTTAAGCTAGTTTCCGATATTCAATATTCAATTCTGGCTCCAAATTCCTGATTTGTGATGAATGTCTTCCTCTGTCAAGTGCCCCATCACTCACATCGGTGGAGAAATCTCTATTATGATAGCCGACATTGCTTCACTACTCTGTCAAAATCAAGGTTAACAGATCAGGTGCCAATAGGACACCATACATCCGCTCACTCACTCAGTGTCAAACCTGAGAGCCTGTATGACACATAGACAGACATTTCTACAGTTATACAGGTCCAAAAATGTCAGTCTCAGCAGCAGTTGGCTGGACTGGACCTGTAATGGACCAGTTTTCCGCTAGTCTCAGGACTGAGGTGATGTGCCTTCTACCCTGACAACTTTTGCTGAAAGAAAAGAAAGTGCTGACTTTATGAAAGATAAATAAACTGATAAACAAACAGACAGTTAGACTCAGCCTGAGAATCCAAGGGGAGGTTTTTGAAGGTTTTACCACACCATAGCAAAATGCGATTAATAATACATTAGGATTAGACAACTGGACTGGATGCAGGATATATGAGAAATATGGAAAAAGAATACAAAACTAACAAAGGATACTTATATAAATGTAAATATAATATGTAAATATACAGTGCAAGCTGTATACAAAAGCTGGACGTTTGGAGGAAAACGACTGCACTTTACTACCTGTCAGCCTCTTCATTATGAAAGAGGGAGTTTTTT